GCGGCTGCGGCTTGGGGCTCCCTAGGGGGCCCTGGGCTGGGTATTTAAAGGGGGAGGGGGTGCGGTGGGTTGGGGGAGGGGCAAGCAGTGGCGGCGGGAGGCGGAGTCCGGCTCGGACTCTGCGGCGGCGGTGGCGTGGCTCGGCTGGGCTTCGGCCCAGTCGGGCGCGCACGATTTTTTTTAACAATTTCGCCGAACAGAAAATATATTCTAGAACAATAAATAAAAAAAGTCTAAAAATACCAAAATAAATTTTCATCATCCAAATAAAAAATTTAGAACAAGATGAACATTTTTGGCCCTAAAATGCAGTTTTGAAAAACGTGCAGTTTTTCCTAAATTCAAATAAAATAGCAAAACTCCAAAATAAACCTTATTTGATTTTTTTATTAAATCCTCAATACTTCTTTATTTTGGGAAAGTCATTTTATTCCCTCTCTCATATTTTTATAAGCGAAATAATTGAAGATAAAATAAATAAAACGAAATGATCCTATTTTCAAAATTCGAGAAAACTCAAATATGAAAATAACGAAATCCCCAACTCTCTCCGAGGGTCCTTGAGTTGCTTAGAATTTGTAGGATCAAACCAAAACAAAGAAAAATATGATATGCATTGATGATCTAATGTATAACATTCCAAATTGAAAATTTGGGATGTTACAGTGTCCACCATGTCAGACCCGGCCCACCCAACCCCATATAAATTAGTCCACATCCGCTCCTCGGACCAAACCCTAACCACTCCACTCCCCTCCAAAGCTCTCGTCCGGCGTTCTCCGGCCTTTTCCGGCATGGCGGGCAACGGATCCGAGTCCTACACCTCCAGATCCATCGACCCTGAGCTCATCCCGAGGAGGAGATGGCCGTTCGACTTGCGCTCTGCCGCTCTGAGGAGGAGGCCACCCGACAACATCGCTTGGACTCCTTCCGTCGGGAATCCATTGCGTCCGCCCAAATGGCGCATGGATCCACCGCGAGGTGTGGCCGCTGCCTCACCGAAGGCGGTGCGGTCTGTCTGGTATCCGAACATGATGGCAGACGTGCAACCCCTTCGTTGGCGCCCCGAGACGGAGGTGAACACATGGGCGTCGTCTGAAGCAAATATGGCACGACATGCCCGCCGTGCTAGGCAATGGGCGCGGGAGACGGTGATAGCCCTCGTGGCGGTGGACGTTGGCGAGTTGGGGTCGCATTCCCTGGCGCCCCACTTGGTGCGCCAGTCCGGGTGCCGCAACCACGTCATGGTGGATGATGTCGGCTCCTCCCAGGACAGACCATCATCGATCTCACGTCCACCGACAGTTCTCGCCTCCGACGAGGAAGGGTAGGGCATGGGAGACGGTGGCGCCTTTAGTGCCGCGAGCCCGGACCATGTCACATGTTCTACTGTACCTCGCCGGCGACTGGACCAATACTCCGAGGGTTGCCGAATGTGGCCACAACCACTCGCGAAGCTACATGTTGATCTGCGTGGGCCATGGCCCCCCAACCTTGGCAAAATCTCTCAAGAAATTTGCTTCCGTTGTGCTTAATTAAACAAAGTATACTCTTTGGCCCCCCTCAGAAATTGTTGTTTTTGCAGTTTACCCCTTCAGCATTCTGGAGTCAGATGAGCTCCACTTAATTAGGTTTTATGTTGCATGTAATTTTATGATTTTGAGGTTTCTAAACTGAGATATCTGGTTGTGGAAGAGATTATTTGAGGATAGATGGGCCACTATCCACGGGCACATCCGTGGGCATCCGGCTCTAGATGCCCTAAGCCCTCATGGTCTAATCTAGAGGTAGGGTGGTCATGGTATCGTGGTTTCCTTTCTTTTGTGTCGGATGATATTGTGGTTTTTGTCAGGTGTTTTTCTGTTCGGTGTTGTCATAAGCTGGATCAGCTCTTTTTTTATGAGTGGAAGCAGGAATCTACTCTATGACAACATAAATCATTGTACGATCAAAGTTATTAAATTGAGGTGTGGTCCGGTTCATGGATATTCTAAGTCTCTACCGTCTCCCTATCATCAGGTCAAAGCTACCACCTACCGGTCCAATAAACTATGAAGCTCTCATTGTATTGTCCCTACTGTTTGGCTGTCATTTTCAAGTTAGGGTAGCGACAAGTGGAAATGCTAAAAAGTATAAACACTGGACTGCATAGTTGGCAGATGTCAAACTTCACCAAAGCCATTTCGTGCAAAAGAAGTCACAGATGATGCGAATTATTCCTAGTTTCATGGGCAAAGGTGGACAAAAATTTCAACTTTGCCAGGGCTAAACAAAGAGAAAACAACAAGAGAAAAGTCATCTTGGTAGGTTTGGGCTACGACCCTATCCACCTCCGGCGCTGTGAAATAGTCGCCCCGGAGATGCTAATCTGCTACTGTCATTTCTGCCAGACTAAACTGAAATCAACTGATGATGTGCTATTACTGCGTTATTATCATTCTTGATCATGGGCTGGCTGCTGTTGGTCCTTCCATCTCACCAGGGAATCGAGGAACTCCATCACCTGCATAACAATTTGGCAAGTTAAACGGCCAGATCGGTGAGCAACTGACCGAGCAAAATCAACAGGAAGGAAGAAACCAGGCATGGAAATTGAACGTTTTCTTTACTTCAGATGGGGCTCTCAGCGAGTAGAAGGCTTCAGTCTCCTTGGGCACCTGCGAAACCAGAATCCCGTACCCACAGTTCCGCTCGCGAAGCACCTGATCAACGTGGCAAAAGAACAGAAGAAACGTGGTGTTTGTTCAGTGGATTCGTGACTGAAATGAGCAGATGTTTTCTTCTGAAGAAGAAATACTCTAGTTTAAAACCTTGAATGCGTCTTCGTCGGTTCGATCATCTCCGGTGTAGATAGGGAGAACGCTTCCAGGGTCATCTAGCCGGAGCGACTGCAGCAGGAACTCCACTGCCTTCCCCTTGTCCCAGTCAATCACTGGACGAACCTCTAAAACCTGCGCAATCGCACACGGCGAAGAGATGCACATTTCTGTCAGTGATAGAAAGAGTTGAAATGCTTGGTGAGGGCACATTCGAATGCTCCTACCTTTCGTCCGGTTGTTAGTTTCAGACGAGGAAAAGACTTCAGCACATCGTTGACAAGCTGCGCGACCGAATCCCAGTCCTGGAAATGGGAAGAGTGGACAGAAAAATTCAGAGGAATGGTTGAAGCAAGAGAGGCAAGAGCAGCTAGAGATTACCTGCTTGTCGACGTTGCGGTAATGTACAGACACACAGAACTTGTTGTTCTCAACATTTGCACCCCTGATTGATCTAGTGGCCTCCACTAGGGAGTTGTAAGCCTGTTGTGCAGGAAACAAAACAAAAAAAGTATGTCAGTATTTTCATTGTTCAGCAACACGTTGATTGCTGTAACTGTTAATAGAGTTGCACTGTGTACCTCAATGATCATGGGTAAAAACTCGCTTGCAGGTTGGAAAAGTTTGGCTACTTTGTCCTACACAAAGTACAGCAGAGTATCGAAAAATAATAATCAAAGACCTGAACCAATAATCCATGTAGTATTCAGGGAAGAGCAAAAAGGAACAGATCAATCATTATTTTTGCCACGTAACAGATTTTTAGGCAATGCAACAAAGCAATTTACCAGTCCCCGAAATCTTGTACTCCCTCTGTAAACTAATATAAGAGTTAGTGATCTAAACGCTCTTATATTAGTTTACGGAGGAAGTAGCAAACAATGAAAGAAGCACTCACATCTTCTGTTTTACTTTTAGAAGAATCTGCAGAAGATAGCATTATGTCCATTCCATGACTTCCAGCGTAGCAGAGCTCCTTCAGCTGTACAAATTCGAACACCTGAATATGAAGAGGCAAGGAGAACACATTAGCTATATGATTTTCATACAAGTAGGAATTATTCCAACAGTAAAATGCCGACTCGTGCAAAAGTTGCTCAAACCTTGTCACGGGACCTCCCGCTGACAATCGCTGTAGGGAAGAACTTGGATACATTCTTCACAGCAGCACGCATCTGAAGTAAGTTTTCCAGATTGAGCAACCAAGTTATACATACATCAAGGCGTCAAGCAATTTTTCAGAAGCAACCATATTTATACATACATCAAGGCGTGAAGCAATTTTCAAAACCAAGCATTTTATCAGAGTTGTGGGTTACCTCGGTGGACATGAACGCCTTCTCGGGATCATTGACAATAGGCGAAAGTGTGCCGTCATAGTCCAGAAACAAGGCGATCTTCTTTCCCTGCGCACTTGCTATGATCCGGTCGAAGGAAGCTAAAGCAGAAGGGCATGTTGCCTGCAACAAATGGCAAAACTCTAGAATCATTTGCATGAGACACCAACTAGACAACTGAAAACAGAAAGAAATATTGATCTTACCAGCCAAGCTTTGTAAGGAGAAACTTCATCAGATGGACCATCAGAATCAAAATGCACAGATGGCTTTATATGGGTTGATGATGGTGTCATCACACCAAGCAGTCCATCAACGACTTCGACAAGTTTACGTCTGCTGATGTATGTCACACTCGCGGAAGAACAGGGATGCCTCTTGGATGTGACTGAAGATGGCATGAGATTTGAAGGTACTGAAGATGGCATTGACAACACTGGCTGGCTTTTGGCCGCATGATCCGACATGGCAGGCAAGCTATTGCTACTATACACTTGAGAAATAAATCAATGAATAGGCTAATTGCAAATTGAGACCAAAATTAGGCGGAGAAGGGGTTCTGTTAACTACTCCTTGTCAATGAAAAACCACAGAGTAGATTTAACCCACAGTCTTGTCAATGAAAAACCACTTCTTCAGCGTTTTCTTGTCAGTGTAAGTGCGCACACGGTTCCTTATCAGAAAGTTACCAGTGATCTGATGAAAGAAGCAAGGAAACATTAGATATAAGTGCATCCACGCATAGAAAACCCAAAATACTTACAATCACATTAAACGGCGTACCTTCATATACACTGGTGTGAGAGCGCATGTGCAATTGTGCGTCACAAAAGTGAAACTTCAGTAGGAAAGGGACCACGTAATTCAACGTTCATATATACTTGATCAGATATCATTGCTGCATGAGTCAAGGAGTAAGTCGTCCATGTCACTGATCTAAAAACGTCATAATGCTCCAAAGATTTCATCACATCATGCATGCATGGACCGGATTTGTAATGACATAAAGCCCCACATCAGTGTCCTTGTGACTCAGAAGATCATGAAAACAACACCATAGATTGCCTAGGCAGAACTTAGATTTAGTTTTTTTGGATAAAAGGGAGATCTGAATCGATCTGGCTTACACCACAGATTCGAAATAATCACTGCTTATAATCAAACAACACGTGGTCTTTTACTAGATTAGAAATTCCGATGATCCCTTCTAATAGATTAGGAATTCCGATGGTAGGCATGCACTGCGCCTAACCCATGTTAATCTAAAACGGAAAGAGATAGAGATGGATTGGGAATTCGAGACAATAGATTCTTCAAACCAATTGCAAAATAGGCTGTGGAAGGGGAAAACACAATCGGGAAATAGTAATAATAGAGAAATTTGCAATGGAGAAACAAACCTGGTTACGAAGAATAGGAGATCGGCGTATTCGCAAGGAAGAAGGAGCAGAGAGGAAAATGCGGCCGTGGTGGAAGCCTATATATATAGGCGAGGAGAGCGGAGGGTAGAAAGGGGATTTCCAACCCCGTCTGCTTTTACTTTCGGCCAAAAACCCGGCAGATCTATATGACGTCGAAGCGAGCGAACAAGGCAACACGGGCCGGCCCACTTCGAGCGAGCACCCGGTTTTCGGGACCTTCTAGTAAGTTCCCTGAACCGGGGTTTTCTTCTTTTGCCCTTTTACCCGTTTTTTCCTCTTTTTTTTTTCTCTGTTTCTGTTTCTATTTCTTTTTTTCTTTCTTTCATTTTATCATTTATCATTTTTATTTTTACACTTTGTTTTCAAGAAAATGTGTTGAAATACCAAATTTTGTTCATGATTTAAAAAAGTGACCATGGTTTTCAAATTTTGTTCACTTAAAAAAACAATTTAGATTTTCTAGTGTATATCTTAAAATGTTCAATGTGTATTTAAAAGTTTTTTCAGTGTATATCAAAATATTGTTCAATGTGTAGTTAAAAATTCTTCCGCGTATATCACAAAAATGTTCAATGTATATTTGAAAATTGTTCATCATATATAAAAAATTCAATAAACGTTTGTTTTCATAGTTTTGATCATGTTTTCAATAATTATTCACGTTTTTCTAAAAAAACATGTTTCAAAAGTTTGTTCGAGTTTCAAAAATTTTCAAGAAAACATTATTCATTTCCTAAGGAGGATTAAGAAATGGACCTGCCACTGCGCATCATATCTTTAGGTTAGTGCTGTAATTTAAGACAAACTCACGCGCCCCTAGTTCACCCCGTGCCGAAATCAAGAACACAAACACATTAATAAAACGTAGAGGGTTCAGATCTGAAATCATGGCACACGGTCCCTAGTGACATGCATTAAACATAGCAAAGTCATAGCAACACCAATATGAGAATATAGTGGATACTAGGGATCAAGCCCTAAAAATCTGACAACGATTACATAAGAAATCTCATCCAAATCCCATCTACCTTCATATGCCTACAGAAAACTTACTCACACATGGATGTGAGCATCATGAAATTGCTGATGGAGAAGGGTTGGTGATGATGACGCCGACGAGTCCCTCTCTTCAGAGAGAGAAACAAACTCTAGATCAGGGCTCCCGGTGAAGAATAGGAGATGGCGGCGGCTCTATATTGTAAAATGCGATGATGATTATTTTTTGTGATTTTTCTGGGATATATGGGAATTTATGGTGATGGAATCATCGTATGGCGGCGGCTGGAGGCCCCACACGGGTAGGTGGCGTGCCCTGGGAGGGTTGTCGCGCCACCTGGACGTGTGGCGGCCTGGTGCCCTCCTACGATACTTCTTCACTCCAAAAATCTTTATTTATTCCAAAATAAATCTCCATAAATACTCGTCCAATTTTGAGCACTTTTATTTCTGCAAAAAAACAACACCATAGTAGTTCTACCAAAAACAGTGTCAGTCCGGGTTAGTTTTATCGGAATCATGCAAATTAGAGGCCATAACAATAGCAAAAGAGTTTGGAAAAGTGGATACATTGTAGACGTATCTAGTATTAATTCTACCTTTAGCTCCTTGTTGAGTTCGACACTTTTACTTATCAAAAAGGCTACAATTCATCCCCTACACTTGTGGATTATCACCCTACTAGAACCGACCTGACCATGTCGATAACAGTCGACAAGTCTTCCGAAGGAAATATGCCCTAGAGGCAATAATAAAGTTATTGTTTATTTCCTTATTTCATGATAAATGTTTATTATTCATGCTAGAATTGTATTAACTGGAAACTTAGTACATGTGTGAATACATAGACAAAACATAGTGTCCCTAGTATGCCTCTACTTGACTAGCTCGCTAATCAAAGATGGTTATGTTTCCTAACCATAGACATGTGTTGTCATTTGATGAAAGGGATCACATCATTAGGAGAATGATGTGATGGACATGACCCATCCGTTAGCTTAGCATTATGATCGTTACAGTTTCATTGCTACTGCTTTCTTCATGACTTATACATGTTCTTCAGACTATGAGATTATGCAACTCCCGAATACCGGAGGAACACTTTGTGTGCTACCAAACATCACAACGTAAAAGGGTGATAATAAAGGTGCTCTATAGGTGTCTCCGAAGGTGTTTGTTGGGTTGGCATAGATCAAGATTAGGATTTGTCACTCCGTGTTTCAGAGAGGTATCTCTGGGCCCTCTCGGTAATACTCATCACTATAAGCCTTGCAAGCATTGTAATTAACGAGTTAGTTGCGGGATGAAGTGTTACGGAATGAGTAAAGAGACTTGACGGTAACGAGATTGAACTAGGTATGATGATACCAACAATCGAATCTCGGGCAAGTAACATACCGATGACAAAGGGAACAACGTATGTTGTTATGCGGTTTGACCGATAAAGATCTTCATAGAATATGTAGGAGCCAATATGAGCATCTAGGTTCCGCTATTGGTTATTGACCGGAGATGTGTCTTGGTCATGTCTACATAGTTCTCGAACCCGTAGGGTCCACACGCTTAACATTCGATGACGATTCGTATTATGAGTTATGTGATTTGATGACCGAAGTTTGTTTGGAGTCCCGGATGAGATCACGAACATGACGAGGAGTCTCAAAATGGTGGAGAGCTAAAGATATGTGCCTTATGGGCCATAGGAGGGAGGCTAACCAGCCCACAAGGCGGCCGAATTTGACTTGGGAAGGGGGTGCCACCCCCTTTCCTTCTCCTACTCCCTTTCCCTCCCCTTTTCCCCTCCGGTAGAAGGAAAAAAGGGTGGGTCCGAATCCTACTGGGACTGGAGTCCTAGTAGGACTCCCCTCTCCCTGGCGCGCCCCTTGTTGGTCGGCCTCCTCCTCCCCTCCTTTATATACGGGGGCAGGGGGCACCCCGAAGGCACAACAGACAATCTCTTAGCCGTGTGCGGTGCCCCCCTCCACAGTTTTACACCTCGGTCATATTGTTGTAGTGCTTAGGTGAAGCCCTGCACCGGTAACTTCATCATCACCGTCACCACGCCGTCGTGCTGACGGAACTCTCCCTCGGCCTGAGCTGGATCTAGAGTTCGAGGGACGTCACCGAGCTGAACGTGTGCAGATTGCGGAGGTGCCGTGTGTTCGGTACTTGATCGGTCGAATCGTGAAGACATACGACTACATCAACCGCGTTGTCATAACGCTTCCGCTTTTAGTCTACGAGGGTACGTGGACACACTATCCCCTCTCGTTGCTATGCATCACCTAGATAGATCTTGCGTGATCATAGGATTTTTTTTTGAAATTACCGCATTCCTCAACAGTGGTATCCGAGCCAGGTTTATGCGTAGATGTTATATGCACAAGTAGAACACAAAGAGTTGTGGGCGATAATAGTCATACTGCTTACCAGCATGTCATATTTTGTTTCGGCGGTATTGTTGGATGAAGCGGCTCAGACTGACATTACGCGTACGCTTACGCGAGACTGGTTCTACCGACGTGCTTTGCACATAGGTGGCTGGTGAGTGTCTGTTTCTCCAACTTTAGCTGAATCGAGTGTGGCTATGCCCGGTCCTTGTTGAAGGTTAAAACAACACACTTGACGAAAAATCGTTGTGGTTTTGATGTGTAGGTAAGAACGGTTCTTACTAGAAGCCTGTAGCAGCCACGTAAAACTTGCAACAACAAAGTAGAGGACATCTAACTTGTTTTTGCAGGGCTTGCTATGATGTGATATGGTCAAGGCATGATATGATATAAATTGTTGTATGAGATGATCATGTTTTGTAACAAAGTTATCGGCAACTGGCAGGAGCCATATGGTTGTCGCTTTATTGTATGCAATGCAATCGCCATGTAATTGTTTTACTTTATCACTAAGCGGTAGCAATAGTCGTAGTAACAATAGTTGACGAGACGACAACGATGCTACGATGGAGATCAAGGTGTAGTGCTGGTGATGATGGAGATCATGACGATGCTTCGGTGATGGAGATCATGAGCACAAGATGGTGATTGACATATCTT